AAAGAAATCTTTTCTCAATAACATTATGTTTTTGAGTAAATTTCTCTTAAGGTAGACTTCTTACGATTAGCTTCTTATCATTAGCTTCTTACCATTAGCTTCTTACCATTAGCTTCTTACGATTAGCTTCTTACCATTAGCTTCTTACCATTAGCTTCTTACCATTAGCTTCTTACCATTAGCTTCTTACCATTAGCTTCTTACCATTAGCTTCTTACCATTAGCTTCTTACCATTAGCTTCTTACCATTAGCTTCTTCCATTTACCATTTCATTGAGCATAAGAAAATAAGGACAATTTAAAAAGTATTACCTTCAAATAGTTAATAGAAAAAAACAATATTATATAAAAGATTTCCTTTCGATCTTTTTGATTTCTTTATATCGTAAGGGAATTTTGAGTTCCCCGTTTTAAAAAGTCTCTAATCCTTCTTTACAAACGATTAAAGATTACGCATTTTATCAATGTTTTCCTTTTCGACAAAGTTGGCACGCTTTACTTGTAAAAAGCACTTGTAAAAAGTTCACGTTTACAATTTTAGAAATTTGAATTTTTAGAATTAAAAAGAAATTTCTTTTAATCGAGTATTTTCACAAGATATCAATGTTTTCTAATACTTTAAAAAGCTTTAAAAAACCCTTTCAATACAGTTTTTACGAAAGAGAAAGAGAAAGCATTTTTTTTCGACCAATCACTGACCGTTGACCCGCCTAGTCTTCCGTTGTGTTGTGCTCTCTTGTCCTGTACCCTTCCCCTTCCCCTTCCCTTCCCTTCCCCTTTCCCTTCCCTTCCCCTTTCCCTTTCCCTTCCTTTTCTTTCCATCGCAGCCCCCATGGGCCCTCCCCTTCCCTCCTTTTTCACCTCCTTTTTCTTTCACTTCTTCAATCCCCTCTCCTTTTTCCATCCCATTCCCCATTTTCAAGCCAAACCTCCACTTTTTGTTGCCCGCTTCCGAACAAAAAGCATCTCTCTGTTATAAAAACGATTTTCTCGCATTTTACCCTTTTTTCACTACAAAAACAGTAATCTTTTTCTCTTTATTTATTGACATTCAAATGTTTCCTTCATTCTTGTTAATCCCCTCCTTATTTACACTTACTCGTTAGCATTTTTATTTTCAGTATCTTTGAGTGTTCTTCTAGCTACTGGTAAATGTCATTGTTAAGTTGTATCGAAGAAAGAAATGCCTGTACATTGCACCAAGGAGTTATCTTTGAATGCTTGAAATTTTCAAACGAGCACCGTTCGTTCGAAAGAGAAGACAGTCTGAAAACCGGTCAGCACTGGTCCTTCTTGGTACGGTAGAATGGGGGAATAGATGGATGGATGGAATGGTGCTTTTGTTTGCGAGGGAAAGAAGAGAAGAAAATGTTGCGCCCCAATGGGAGAGTCGCTCTTTTTCTTTTCTTCTTCTTCTTCTTCTTTTTTCGAGTGTTGAGGGGTCCTCTCGGATGTCGGATTCCCCCGTTCTACCCCAGTCGCAGTACCCGTTTCCCGTGGATCAGTTCTCTTTTCCATCTGAAAGTCAGTGAACAGTCTGAACTCTCTCCGATCAGCCCTCTCTTCCAGAAAACCCATTATTGATTCCAAAACATATGAAAATTATACTCCGAGTACGATGAATCAACTTCATCCGATTTTTGGTGTAAGTTTAAATAAGTTCACGTTTGTTAGCTCTTCTTCAAATCATCTTTTTCTTCTTGTTCTTGTCATCCTTCTTGTTCTTCTTTTTGTTCTTCTTCTCTTTCTTCTTCTTCATCTTTATCTTCATCATCATCTTCTTCTCTTTCTTCTTCTTCATCATCATCATCATCATCATCTTCTTCTTCATCTTTCAACCTTCTTTTTCAAATCGTAACCCCACCAAAATACAGTATGATCTTTGAATGGATTTCTCTTTTGCGATGCGCGGAAGCCATGTGCACGCAGACGCTTTATGGATGCAAGAAGAGAAATGACCATTTCTTTTCAAAAAAAAGACCTTCATTTTTTTTCTCCGATTTCTCCTCGCAACTCGCCTCTACTGAGCCTCACACAGCCGTTTTTTTACAGTACCTATTTTTTTGTGAGAGTGGTGGATGGGGAATGGATGGAGGAGGAGAAGAACACACCAGGACACCTAGTGCCCATGAGGGAGAAAGAGATGGGGGACGAGGAGCCTGTGAACACTCTGTGAACAGCCCCTCCACTATTTCTTTTTGAATGACTTTTTCTTGAATTCTTTTCTCTTTTCCTTTCTAAAACATCGCCGTTTTTCTGAGGCCATGCTTTGAATGTTTTATTTTGAAAAAATTTTGTTGTGAAATGAATGAAATCGTTGTGACTGCTCAATCCTCAGTCATAAAAAGAAGCCTTTCTCCAGTTTATTCCCAACCTCATCCACTTTCTTCTAAATGATTTAATGGTGTTCCACTCTAAATACTGTGGACGAGCGCCTGGGATAGGGGTTTGTCTATGTGTATGGTAGATTGAAGACAGGCTTTTCTTTTCCTTTCCCTTTTCATTCACTATCATACATCAATCGAACCCGGCTGCAATCTCATAGCTCAATCTCCGCAATTTTTCTCTCCTTATTCGATTCTTCTTTTCTTTACACCCACCTTCTCTTACAGCAAACAGTTCATTGTGCGTTTTTTTTCGCTCTCAATTCAACACATAATTTTGGTGGTGTTCAGTGTGTGTTGTGTGTGTGTCCCCTTTTTCATTTTCCCATCTCCCCAACTATGCTGTATCAGTCCTTTTCTCCATTTTCATTTTTTTTAGATCTTTTTGATAAGAAGAACTGATTCGGCCACGACTCTGTATTTACTTTTCCACAAAAAAAAACTCCCTGTCAATCAATGTTTTTGAAAGTTTTTTTAGAAGAAATCAAAACAAAAAAAGCGTCAAAACAAACGATTGAAAAGAAATTTGAAGAATTTTTGGGGTTAAGAACAAGAATGTTTTGGATGATTTGGATGATTTGGATGATTGGGATACTGTAGGGGAAAGAAGGAGATCTTTTCAGGAAGAATCTTTAGCTTTTTTGTAAAGCCAATGAAAACTTGCAGAAAGTCGAGATCCAATCCGACGATTAACTGAATGCAAATCAACGTAGAAAATCTCAAGCTTTAGTTAATCTGTCATCCTTTTTTCTTCTTCACAATTCAATCAATAAAAGTCCAACTTTTCTTGCGTAATTTCTTCAGCGTTCCATTTTTCAGCGACGTTGTGCAAATTCATTTTTTTTTTCGACTCAACCGAGTAGAGAAAAAGAGAAAAAGAGTGGAAAAAAGTAAACAGCTGCAATTGCTCCACAAAACCTCTTCTTTTTCTCGATTTTTTTTCTCATCTTGATGTCGAATCGATTCTTTGCCCATTTCCCATTCTCTTCATCGAATCTCTTCTCAAGAGGACCTTCTTTTCCCTTTTTTTTCTCCCCAGGGAACTAAATGTTCCCCTTTTTCACGCTTTTTCCTACCGTACACTTTTTTTCTCGACGCACCAGCTTTTTATTTGGATAATAACTTTAATTAAAATGATAACTAAATGATAACTAAATGATAACTTTCACTAAAAAAACTTTTTTAGATTTATTTTTGGAAATTTCTCTTTTTCTCTAATTGTTGAGAAGAAAATTGGATTCGATAAAAAGTCGAATAAATCTTAAAAGTTTACAAGTTTAATATTTACTTGATTATTTACTATTAGTCTTTTTCTTAAACATCCATCCATTATCCTTCCATTATCCTTCCACTGACTATCCGTCATTCATTTCCTCCATTATAAATTTCACTGTTTGTAGTCCGATTTTATCCGATCACATTTTTTTTTTCAAAAAGAAAATTCATATTAATCATCTAATTTGACTGTTGCAAATCCGAGAGCATTTTTCTCATCGATTCTTTTGTAAAAAAAGAATATCCACTTTTTCCATCGAACAATGTAGAGAGTAATTTTCCATTCTTTCAATAGAAAATGAGGAAGAAATCACGGTGATCTTTGTGGATTGGTTGAAAAGGATTTTGATTCCACACTGAATATTCTTTCTTTCTTTCTTTCTTTCTTCCTTTCCTTCTTTCTTTCTTTCTTTCTTTCTTTTGAGGATTTCTTTCGAGATCAAATACCAAAATTTCTTTAAAGAAAACTCCTTATTTGCACATAAAAATCGATTCATTTCCTAAAGATTCCCACAATAAAACTACCGTACAAAAGGTTCATTCAGAGATATTTCTTCCTTTTTGCCATTTCTCTCCCACTTTGGCTATAATTCTTGTTCTGAGTTGAGACCGATTTGAAAGAAAAAAAAGAAATAGATCGAAATGGGTGAAGAAAAGGAGGAAAAGATTGAGTAGAAATCGGTAAAAGAATGGCATTCACTTTTGATCATGGCAATGAGAAAGAAAGAAAGAAAAGAAGAAAGAAAGGAAGAAAGAAAGGAAGAAAGAAAGAAAGAAAGAAAGAAAGAAAGAAAGAGAATTTAATGAATGAAATAGAGTAAAGCGTTGGTCACCTAAACTTCTTTTGGTTTAGTTTAGTCGATTCTCAATCCCAAAGCACTTTCCTTATTGAGGAAGGATTGTAAAAAGTGGCTCCAAAATTTCTCCCGTAAAGCAATTCAAATACCGTATTTTCTCTAATAGTAAGGCACCGCACCGAGCCGAGTTGGTGACTCTTTTACGGTTTCCAATTTTTCCCAGAAGCTCAACACTCAAATCCCCCACTAGATCTCATCGTCAGCTACATTTTCCGACCCCACATCAATAGGTTCTGATAAGCGCTTTTTGAGATTTCGAGGAATTTAGGCAAAGCTTTGGGTGCATTAGAGAAAATACGGTATCTTTTAAAAAGCTTTTCATTTATCTATTTTACTATCTATTTTATCTAAACCCATCTCCAATTGTAAGTACGGAGTAGTAAGTATAATCAAAATGGCAAAAACATCCACCAATTTCTTTCATTCTAAATCCTCAACCTTTCCTTATTCAGAAATAATTGCAAAAAAAAATTACTCGAACAAAATGACTTTATTTCATCGCATTTCCCCATCAATGAAAGTCGAGTTTTTGGTGAAAAGTGAACTGATAACAATTGCCTCAAAAAAAAGCACTTTTTCAAAGTAACGAAATTTTTTTCAAATAAAAAAAACTCTTTTTATTGATTTACATTTAGTTCCAAGGATTCGATACAAAACCCGATCTGCAGACAATCCACACGCAGATGCAGATGCGCGAGGCGAAGCCCTACAAATGCACACAGGTTAGGGAAAGGATTTATTGGGAAAAGTAGAGAAGACGGTTATGGCCCTTTCTTCTAATGGATTCCTTCAAATTCGAACAATAGTAAAGCAGAGAATTACGTAAAGTCGACTCTCGATTTAACGATTCGCTCAGGACTAAAAATTTCGATTTAACGATTCTAAAACGTGTACCAAATTTCTTACGTAGCTGCTCTGAATGGCCAACGATTGCGTTTGGCTGGGCGGCTAGGCAGAAACCAAAGGCGTGCTTTAGAATTTCAAAATCGTTGTATCGAGAGTCGATTGTAGTAAAAGTACAGTAGAGAATTAGGGTAATTGTCGAATTTGTTGCCAAATTTAAACCGTCAAATTTAGTGCATCAAATCATTCGCCAACAGCTCGTACCTTTCGCAACATATGAGAATTCATTTGGGCATCAAACCATTCGGTCCATGTCAATATTGTGGAAAGAAAGTGCGTTTATTCTTTTCATTTTCTCACATTTGTAACACAATTTTCTCGAAAAGCAAAACAAAAAGATCCTTAAAATGCTCGTTTTCATCTTAAAAATCTCAATTTTTCATTGATTTTCTTTATTTTTTTTTGTTGATTTCAGTTCACTCAACTTTCTCACCTTCAACAACACATTCGAACGCATACTGGAGAGAAACCATATAAATGCAAATATCAGGTAAAACATTTCAAATTCAAATATTGGGTTGGTGAATTGAAAACTGCCGGACTTTGAACTAAAATTTATTCAACATAAAACCATAAATTGATTCGAAATAATTTCCATTATTATTGATGGCTTTTGCCCATTTTACAGGCAATTTGCGGATTCCTCTTTCATAGTAGGATTTTGGTTTGTGTGTGAGACAAGTGTGAGACTCAAAAATTGAGGACTGGAGATGTCCCAGTTTGAGCACTTTCTCCAAAAGAAATTCATTTTGGTGTCAATAGAAAAGTTGTAGAGAATCAAAAATTAGGCTTATAGCGAAATCTCCGAAAAGATACACTTAGTAGTTTCGCTTAAAATGCAAGTTTTGTGAAAATTCGTGAATTTGGCATTTCTTGACAACCAATTTTTGAATCGTTCTGAAAATTTGGATATAAGCTTGATTTTTGATTCTCTACAACTTTTCCATTGACACCAAAATGAGTTTCTTTTGAAGAAAGTGCTCAAACTGTTACATATGACAATAGCCGGCAGTTTTCAATTCACCAACCCAATAGAAAACAATTAAATCAAAATTCTCAAACTTAAAGAAGAACAAAAGAACTTTTCAAACTTGCGAAAAACTTGAGAAGTTCAGTTTCAGGGTTGTGAGAAAGCTTTCTCTCAACTCTCGAATCTTCAATCGCATTCACGATGTCATCAAACGGATAAACCATTCAAATGCAATAGGTTCGTATAAAGAAAAACTTTAGAATCAATAGATTTTAGAAATATTTCAAATAATCTTGTGCTTTTAGTTGCTACAAATGCTTCACCGACGAGCAATCCCTCTTGGAACACATCCCGAAACACAAAGAGAGTAAACATCTCAAGGTAAACTTATTTTGAATACCTTTTGTTAACGAGGGTTATTTTAAAAGTAATTTCTCCAAGGGTCAGGGCCAGGTCAAAAGTGAATTTGAAACTGGCTTCTTGTGACGACTGTCACATCTTGTCAAAAAGCTATTCAGTTTAAGCTAAACTATCGATAAGCCCCGGTAGTCTGGCCTGGTTTTCTGGCAATATAAGCCGCTTTTTTGTACTTTTTTTGTGAGAATGTTTTCTCTAGATTTTTGTCCAAAAATCTGTCATAAATTGTATTCTGCCAAAAGCATGGTTTTGTTCTGAAACCTTAGAAATTATACAGAAAGTACGCTCGAGTCGGGACACTTTTGGCTGGGCTTTGACCTTGCCTTGTCTCGTCCGGCTTACAGAACCTAGGATTCGCTTGATACAAGCTGTTAGCTGTTCACTGTTTCGAATTGAAATTTTCTCATTTCTCAATTTCAGGTTCACATTTGTCCATTCTGCGGGAAATCGTACACCCAGTCGACTTATTTGCAAAAACACATGACAAAACATGCGGACAGAACGAGAAATATGCGATTTGGAAATAACGGGTTCGTTTCGTGGATTTTGGATTGACTTTTTGAGGATTTGTTATAATCATTAATTCTATGAAAACTTTCAGACAAGAATTCACGGCCGAGACACCGACATTGGATTTGAATACGGCCACCTGGAACACTCAATTGCCGGCAATGCCCGAAGATCCGACCACACAACATGCACAACAACAACTTGCCTTTAGTAAGCGATCATATTAAAACGCAAAAAAAGAGAAAGAAATGAATCTTCTTTTATACAAGACAAAGTTATTAGCTACAAATTTTAGATCAATTCAATGCATCAATGATGAATGTGGCTGCAGGACAGACAACCGGTGGACAGAGCACATATCCCCCGGCCGCTTCACTCAATAATGGTTTTGCCGCTTTTGAGGTAGGGGAATCATATTTAAACATAATATTTTAAAGTAAACAAAAAGCATTTGTTCTTTAGCATTTGTTGAATTTCCAACGGAACAATGCACGGGGATATCTCGATCAATATCAGAATAACTTCAGTAAACAACAAGCAGCGGACAGGGCGTCTGGGTGAGTTCATAAAAGAAAAGTCAAAAGAATACGATTTTAAGGTTTTTATGTCATTTAAATATTATAAATCTATAGATCTATAGATAAAAAAAACACTCTAAATCAATTAAGATGTACAATTGTTTCTGAAAGTACTGTAAAATCTCTTGTCAGTATATCGATTCTTTTAGAGAATTAAAGAATTGGGTCTTACAATAATGTTAACAACAATTAGATTTTACTTTTAGCATAGTATACTTAGAGATAAATGCAAATTTGATTCATTTTTACGAGTCTGATGAATTAAGTAAAATTAAGCAATCACGATTTCCCCAAGTAAACTTTTTACCATAAACGAACTAATTAAAAATAGATTTATTCACATAAATAATGTAGTACAAATAATATAAAAGCCCAACTTCTAAACTCTAAATGTAAGAAAGAAAAAAAAAACTCATATATATGAAAAAAAGAAGCAATAAGCTAGCAAACGGGATTGAACCCTTGTGTTTTCGACTAAGATGCTCTTAACCAGTCGGCCATTTAGCGACAAATTGCCACCTCGCCTATAAGGAGGCGCCAAGCGGGAAGGAATTAAGAGCAGCGGTAGCCTAGGGGATAGTACGCTATTCTACAAAACTACGCCGTTTTTGCTTTTTTTTGCTTCAATTCCGCTCCCAGCCAAGGCTCTTAGCCAGTGGGTCATGACGGCCATTGGCAACAATAGAAAAAAGCACCATAGAATAGACCTAAAAATTTCCGGTGTGAATGTCAATAGGTGTCTAAGAGAAAAATGCCATTTCTTGACCTTTTCACTCTAATCTTTTTGTCTTTGATTTCGATAGAAAATGAAATTCTGTGTTAATTGATATCAAAAAGAGTGAAATTGGCGAAGCTATGGCATTTTTTCGTTGAACACCTATTGACGTTGACACGGAAAATTTCCAGGGCTATAGAATGTAAATCTCAGGCTAAAATGAAAAGAATAAAACATGTATTTGACTATTCGAAAAAGAAGAAGACGTGTTGTTAAAGATGAGAAAGTTTAAAGTGAAATGAAATGGAATATAGAGAAAAATGTGTAATTTCAGCTTCAACATGATCACCCCACTCGAGAACATTCAACGCTACACGCAAGGCAGCGGCGGAACGGGAGCGACAGCGGTCGCCGCTGTGCCCACTCATCCACAATTCCAGATTACCGGCCCGATGAAACCTGCGAGTTATTAGTGTGTTTCTCATTTTCAATATCTAGAAGAACTTTTTTTTCTAAGAGTTTAGAGTTTGTTTTTTTTTGGTCCCAACCCTAAACCCTTTTTCGTTGTTTTTATTAGCACAGTAATCCGTGGCTCTTTCCCCGAGTCCCAGGGACTCGATTCAATGACAAAAAAATAGGCATTTAAAGACTTTATTTAGCCTAGCTTAAGATTATGAAAAAAGAAATAACGAATTTTACATGTAAATGCCTATTTTTTTAATCTTTATTTTATAATATAAAACCCACAAATACTGCACGACGTCGTCACCAAACGGGATCATGCATTTCTTTTCTTGATTTCTTTCAACTTTTTCTTTTTTGTTTTGAATTTAAAGTATTTATCTAGTTTATCTCTAGAAAATGGTAGGGAAAATGCTTTTTTTTATAAAGTATCGAATCAAAAAAAACTCAATCAGAATATCAGAATATCAGAATATCAGAATAAACTACATAAATACTTTCTTTTTTTTTTTTCAATACTGACGACGTGTGTTCTTTCTCGTGTTTCTTTTTTTTGTTCTCGGTTTAAACAAATGAAATCAATAAAACGCGGTCCATTCTAGCCCCTTTTATTCAATTACTCGATTCCCCATTTTCTGTAAATCAGTAAGTTCATTTGTTCATTGTTTCTTTAAGAATTGGTGGATAGCAAGCCGATTTTTGAGTGATTTCATCAGTGATAAGAATCTGAAACCAAATGTTTTTTGTTTGTTATTAAACAAACAAAAAAAACATTTGGTTTCAGATTCTTATGATTTCCAGAGAAATCCCTCAAAAGTTCTCTTTTATTTTTCATTTTCCCTCCATTCCCTCTTTCATTTGTTTGTTTTTTTTTTGTTTTATGAAGTAATTTCTCTTTTCTCGCACCAAGTGCCCACTTCTAGCCTCGTTTTTTGGTTTTTAACAATCCATAAAGATATGCTAAAGTTTTGCCATTGCAATTCTCATTTAAAAAACGATTATTTTTTTTTGTTTTGTCTTTTTTTCTTATGTGCTGATCTGACGGTTTCTCGTTTATTCGATTTGACCGGTTCTTTTTTTTCCTTTCTTTATTTCTATTTCCTTTTTCCCCATCAATGATATCGAGAAAAACTTTGAGTTTCAACTTTTGTTTTGTTTTGTTTAAAATGAATAGGATTCGAGAAATCCCCCAAATCGGGTAGAGGGTCTTTGTGTTGAGATGGTGAAGTGGTAGTGGTCGGAGTTTCCACCCCACCGCCCCAATCTTTCCACCCAGGTTCGAATCCTTTAACTGTTTTTTACAAAAAAATTTTTGCTTTTTTTTGCTAAAACCAACACAAAGATTCCTCTCTCTCTCTCCCCCCAAAAGCCCTTAGATGAAAGTGCAAGAAAATGGTTGCATATTTTTAGGAATCGATTTCAAATAAACGATCCATTTGCCTTGTACGTCTTTAATTTAAAAGCAAAAAGATAAAAAAAACTTTGAAAACCCAGTGAGAGCCCAGAAAGCAAAAATCCGGTGAAAATCTCGACGAATGTGCCCAGTTTTATTCTTTTCTTTTCTTTTCTTATTATTTGAAAATGTTTCCCCCATCCAATGATCCATTCACACGAAAACACTACCATCAAGTACAAAATGAAATCTCTAGGATCTATTTAAATCCCAGGAATCAAATTTGGAGGAAAATTCGAGAAAGAAAAAGGTTTTAAAAACCAATTTCACCGAAAATCCAACCGAAATCTCCCTCCATATTTGAGACGAAAATTTTGCATTTTTTTTTATAAGAAACGCGTGGCGTTCGTTAAAATCCCCCATTACCGAAAAATCTTCTACCGCTTGCTACCACTGATTCTATTATATTCCCCCCCCCTCCCAAAAAAAAGAAAACTACAGCAATTCTTTTATTTTCATTTGTTTGTTTTTATTGAAATCAGTCGATTGTCTGTTTTTTCTCTTGAAGCTCTCCGCTCTCACTCCCATCTTTTTTTTCGTTGACTCGAAAGTCGACCATTGTCTCATTTTATTTTTGTTTTTCTTTTGCATTCTTGAAAATAAAAGATATAAAAATTTACTTGAAATACATTAAAAAATCTGTATTTGGCACAAATTGAAAGAAATAAAGAAATATAAAAGAAAATTTTTAAAAAAAAAGTAAGGTGAGCAAAAAAGAGGGAAGTTACGAGAAAATTTGCGAAATGCGAAAATTTGAAAGCAAAAAAACACTAGATTTCTTTAAATTTCTTGTAAAATACGATAAATATAAATAAAATCTATAAAAATTTGATAAATTTCAAGTTTATTTTAATTAAATACAATATAGATACCGTGAATACTGTAATCCCTATAATGACGGTGCGGAGTGTTGCGTAGTCTAGCTTTGAACGAGTTTTTCTCGACACTGGTTTATGCTACAATGCGCGCTTAGGTATCAAAAAATAGCTGAGATTCAGGGCTATTTTTTGATACCAAAGACGCATTTTTTGAAAGTACGGGCGCTTTGAAAAAATGAAATACTAAAAAACTTTTGCGACTACGCGACTGTACGAGGGCGTACTATTATAGTATTTACGGTAAGTTAAAAGTGATGAATTAGCGTCAAAAGAAAGAAAATGTTTTGGTCCAATCCTAAAACTCTTGTTCACTTACTTTGTGATTCTTGAATGGTGGCTGAAAAGAGTCCATGAAAATAGTTCAACTCGGGGAAAAAGGCCTTTTCTTGTACTAAATCAACATTGAAAAGAGAAAAAGAAACTGTAAAATTTGTAAAATCTAATAAAATATCTACCGTAAATACTGTAATAGTACCCCCAGAATGACGGTGCGGAGTGTTGCGTAGTCGAGCTTTGAACGTGTTTTTCTCGACACTGCTTTATGCTACAATGCGCGCTTAGGTATCAAAAAATAGCTGAAATTCAGGGCTATTTTTTGATACCAAAGATGTATTTTTTGAAAGTACGGGTGCTTTGCAAAAAATGAAATACTAAAAAGTTTTGCGACTATGCGACTGTACGAGGACGTACTATTACAGTATTTACGGTAAGTGAAAAGTGATGGATTAGCGTCAAAAGAAAGAAAATGATTTGGTCTTTCTATCACATAGATTTTTGATCTAAAGCTTGAAATGAGACAAATAAACACCAAAAATGAAATTAAAGAGTGAAAAATGTGAATGTTTATATGAAAATAATAAAATATTCAGGTTAATTTCAGATCAAAGACATGAAATTCGAGTCAGAAAAATCGAAAAATAGAAAAATAGAAAAAAATCGAAAAATTTAGACGAAGGCAACCGTAAAAAGTTTCAAAACGATATTTCTGGGCATTGAGTTTCGTATTTTGTAAAGGTTGAATGCAAAATTTCACTCTACTAAAGTCGAAATAGTTTAGTTTTAATGCTTAGGATATTGTATGAAATGTTCGGACTTTTATAGCACCAAATAAAAATCAAACTTTTCATTTATGTGGACTGTTTTTTTGATTTTTTTTGCATTTGAATCTTATTTTACTTTTAAGAGTCCATTAAAAGGCCATTAAAAGGCCCCAAATCTGAAAAAAATAGAAAAGAAAATGATTTTGTGTCACCAAAATATTAAAAATGAGAATAAGAATGGAAAAATAAAGAAGAGAAATTGAGATGAAGAGCGAGTAGAGAAGTTGCATCTGAAAAGAGATTGCTATGGCTCTATATATTGAGAAGAGATTCCTATGACTCCATCTATGGAGAAGAGACTCCTATGACTCTATCTATGGAAAAGAGATTCCTATGACTCTATCTATGGAGAAGAGATTCCTATGACTCCATCTATGGAGAAGAGACTCCTATGACTCTATCTATAGAAAAGAGATTCCTATGACTCTATCTATGGAGAAGAGATTCCTATGACTCTATCTATGGAGAAGAGACTCCTATGACTCTATCTATGGAGAAGAGACTCCTATGACTCTATCTATGGAGAAGAGATTCCTATGACTCTATCTATGGAGAAGAGACTCCTATGACTCTATCTATGGAGAAGAGACTCCTATGACTCTATCTATGGAGAAGAGACTCCTATGACTCTATCTATAGAAAAGAGCTTCCTTTGACTCTATCTATGGAAAAGAGATTTCATTGCTTCTATCGAGCTCTTTTCAGAAGTTTTTTATTTCCAGAAACCTTTTTTTATTTGATGATATCACTTTGAATTCAGCAGTCTTTCATTTTTCAACTTTAATCTTTCAATTTTAAGCCTTTCTTCGGTATTTTATGTCCCTCTAGCGATAGTTGATTTTAGCAAATTTGATATGACCATAAGTTTGAATAAGCCTTTTAAATCAATCACTCACCTATCACCAAGACAGCTACAAACGCGAACTCTTTGTGCATCACCGCGATAATCATGGCGAAAAAGATCGGCCGCATTCATGTCTCGACAAACATCAAATCTAAATATTGACAAGATAAATTGAAATCAAGTTTTTAAAAGGCAACGACACGGTGGCGCACAATTATGGAAACTCGGCTTTTTTTGGCTGTAACTCGACAAAGACAAAGCGGGTTTTATCCCAATCTCTAAACTTTAAGCAAATCATCTCAGAGACAGAGTATCTCATCAACGACTAGGTCGACTCAGCCTAGTCGTTTGATGAAAGCAGCCATATTCTACAGGGTGACGCACAATTATGGAAACTCGGTTTTTTGACTGTAGCTCATGACTTATTCGATTTCCCTTTCATATTTATATGAAATTTCAAGTGAATTTCTGCGGTCAATTTCAATTTTTATTTTATAAACACAGTGTTACCCTTTTTATAGTCCTTCGAAGTTCAGATGTGCTCAACCTCTCCGCAGAATCATCGTTTTCAACTCTCAAGAATTGCCCGCAAATCAACCAATTCTTTTAGCTACGAGTTTACTCAAAAATGAGTAAATATGAAGCGGGAATTCTTCAAAATATGTGCAAATCTTGCCAAACAACGATTCTGCCGAGAGGTTGGCACATCTAAACTTCGAAGGACTATAAAAAGGGTAACACTGTGTTTATGTAATAAAAATTGAAATTGACCGCAGAAATTCACTTGAAATTTCATCTAAATATGAAAGGGAAATCGAATAAGTCATGAGCTACAGTCAAAAAACCGAGTTTCCATAATTGTGCGTCACCCTGTAGAATATGGCTGCTTTCATCAAACGACTAGGCTGAGTCGGCCTAGTCGTTGATGAGATACTCTGTCTCTGAGATGATTTGCTTAAAGTTTAGAGATTGGGATAAAACCCGCTTTGTCTTTACTTTCGGAAGCAAACCGAACCGGGTCCTCGGTGGGTCAGGCAAGACCAGAAGCTAGGCTTAGGTCTGGCTTTTGACAGGTTTAGGTACTCTAAGAACTTAGATTAGGTCTGCAGTAAAGCCAGAGCAGAACCTCACTTCTGAGCCTGAGCCGAAAATAATGATTTTCGAATAACCCTTATGAATACGTCAATTTTTAACAACACGCTGAATGTGCTTACTAGACATGGGAAAATTCCAAGCCAAACCTAATTCCACCTTCGTTTTTGCGGCCGTTTTTTGTTCCACAGATAGAAATCGTCATTTTCAGCTTTTAGACAAAATTTCATAGCAATCGACCAAGAAATGGCCGAGAAAACGAAGATGGAAATAGGTTCAGCTTGGGAAAATCTAGACTGAATACGGTAATCCAGCTAATCTTAACTGAATGGAAATAGGTTCATTTTCTCATTTTTAGTGCTTACTCGTTGTTTTACACTGAAAGATAATGTGTCTTTTTCCTAAAAACGAACCTATCAAATAAGGCCAATGTATGATTGTACATTCCTTTTCTCGCCATTGTATGAGCACAACCGCGCATCGTCATTCGTCGACCCGTTCTCTGTCCTAAGCTTTCTTTTTTGTTGAAATCAATTCCAAATCAATTTACCCATAATCATCAATTCTTGATAAACAGTCAAACAAATGGTCCTGCATGCGACCACATCAATGTTGTCTTGTCTTCTCGGCTCATCGCATAAATCCGTGAAATTTTTTGGCTCAACAAACACTCTGAATTTTACGGGTCAACACTGTTATTCGTCGAGTTTTAAATTACAAACCTGTCCAAGCCATTGTGAAAAAATTGTTTCGACGACTCCGACATGCAACTATAGCAACGATTGTATTTGAAAGTGCCTGTAAAATCTGAGACTGGCATTATATTTGCAGGGATTTTGAGGTGCAATCTAATAAAACAAGACGTTAGCCTAAAGAAGTGCTGTACTTAAAGTTGTGCTTTGTGAAACGGTTAGTAAAATCAAATTTTAGTCAAGATTTTGAACTGAATCGTGTTAATTTCGGGAAACGATCGGCGTATCCAATTCATTTCAAAGTGGTCATTTACCGAAAATAGTACCGGCTGAGATGAATGTCGGAGGAAATAGAAGGATTTCGATGATGATCAGATGAAAATGGAGATGAAGAGAACGAGGTGACATCACACAAAACCCATCACAAAAATGGAGACAAGATCGGGAATATTTGAAGAGATGGGAGGCGAGGGGGAAACTCAGCAATTAGTTATCGATGAGTTTCCCTCTGAAAATCTGAAATTGCAATATCTGAATTGATTATATTCATGGAACAGTTGAAAGAAAATCAAGTTTAAAGTATTGTACTTTAGTGCTGTAAAGTACTGTAAAGTATTGTACTTTAAGTACTATACTGTAAAGTATTGTACTTTAAAGTATTATACTGTAAAGTATTGTACTTTAAAGTACAATACTTTACAGTATAGTACTTTAAACTGTAATGAGATAATTAGGAATGTTCAAACCGGTTCTAGGGGCTGTAAGCTGGCTTACAGGTTATACATTTAAAGTCGAATTGTAAGTAGAAGTAGATAACGTTGTCAATAACTTAGAAAATAACTGTCAATAACTTAGTGTCTCTCAGAAAACTTTATGCAATGTACAGAGGATTCAATATTTTTGTGGACCAGTAGATTACAAGGTTTAGAGCTCATTTCTTACAATTTTAATGCTAAAAAGGAAACACATTTATCAATACGTCCAATGCTAACAACTTTAAGTAACTTCTTTGCCTTTTGTTGCTGTTTCTTGTCTAGAAACACCAGCGTCTACTGTGGGTCGGATCAATTGAGTTTGACATAAGCTTTCTTAGAAGATCCAAAACTGAAATATGATTCTAACATTTTTAATATCTCGTATCTTCAAAAACTGTTAAATAGTGAAGACTTTCTCATCGTTAAACAAGAAAAACTGTGATCTGATTTCTTTTGATGAAATTTGGTGATCGAGTTTCGATGAATTTGAGTATCGAATTTAGTAAACTGTAAAAACAATCTAGAAAATCGAGTTTTCTCCAACTCGTATGCAGTCATTTCTTGACGATAAACCAATTCTGAGAACGATAAACGAGCTGCGAGCTCAAAAATCCTCATAAATATCGAACATTCTGTAGAAACTTCGAAACAATAAAGGATCTTGGAGGAAAGAAGGCTAAAAACAAAGAATGAAATCTCATAAACAAAGACTCAACTAGTTACAAGTTCTCTAATAAATCAACCGGTTTGTCAAGTCTACCAGAGTCGTCTGTTCATCATTTCCTTTTCCGACAAAAAGCTAAAGACTTATGCTAGATGAAGGGGTGTCTTTTTCCCTTTTCTCAATCTCCAAGTGCTCATAAAGCCAAGCCATAATTGCTGTGTAACGGACATGAATGTTCTTTCTCTTCTAACTCTTTCTACATAGTCACCAAGTAAATAATCTCTGGTTTTTTACGGGTGAGGCCATATTGATGATTGTGTGGGTTATGTAGAAGACAAAAAAAAATGGCAATAGCTTGGTGAAGGAATGGGGAAAAGTTGTTGAAGAGGTTTAAAGAAATTAGGCAATTTTTAAAGGAATTTCCAAGCAACACTTGCAGTTTATCAGTAGTAAAAATAGATATTAAAGAAATTAGGGATCACTGTTTTGATAGGAGAACAAATTCGATCAGCTGAGGCAAAAAAAAACGATGACATAAAAATGGGAAAAACTAAAAACAGATAGATCTTTCTTCGATCTAAACAGATAGGGTAAAAAAGACACAGGAAAGAGCTGCAGAAATGGAATGGAATGGAATGGAGTGGAATGGAAGGGCTAAGGGGGGAGGGGAGGAGTACACGGAGTATCAAGTTGCTGCTCGTGTCTGTCCTCCTGAACCCGACCCCATCTCCTCCTCTTCTTTCATCTCTCCCTCACTACATAAACAATTTGTTCGAGAGGCAAAGTTGATGAAAAAGAACAAAGCAATTCCCCCAATAAACTCCAAATATGAACTCCCGAACACATTTTGGGGATTAGTGATCTTTCGAACCGAGTAAAGAGGATTACTTTCTAGACTTTATCGTCTGATTCTAGAACAATAAATGCAATAAATCTTTTATCTATTATATCATGGAAAATTGATTGGATAAACGATGAATCAATTCAGAAAAAGCGTACGGCGATTAAAGAAAGTTAAACATTTTTTTTTTGTGAAACTTTGCTAAATGAAATTTCTGGGGCACATCCAAGTGGACATCAAATAAAATGGGGCCTTGCCTTGCCTTTGGATGAGTCTTTCCTCCTCTTTTCCTCTTGAATTCCCTTCGATCTTTCCCCCATTTTCTTCTCGTTTTCTTGACTTTGGCTTCAATTTGGGTAAAATCGACGAGAAACTTTGTCTCGCTCTTTCACACACACACAAAAAAACAAAAAAAAACAACAAGTAAAGTGAATTTTTTGGAGTGCTGAGTTAACTTTTTGATAGAAAATGAAAAACGATGGTGATTGTAGTCTGATTTTTATTGTGCTTTGATATTCAATATTTTGACTAAAAACTACTGCAGAGAAATGAAATATGAAGAGTTGCTGAGAAGAAAAGAGGAATGGAAGGGGTGATGTGCGGAATGAGGGGCGAAAGGTACGCGCTTTGTTTCACGCGATGTCATTCGATCTCTTCTACATTGAAATACATACAAATTTTGTCGGAAACCTTCCCTTTTCTCTTAATATTAATTTTGAATTTATACTTTTTTCACGTCGATGAAAAAAATGAGGCATAAAATGTGATAAAAACTGGGGAATTGGTAAAAAACGAAAAAAAGAAATTCAAAGAGAAAAAGAAATTCAACTATTATACAAAATTTGTAAAGTGTTATGGTGAATTGCAATATAGAAGAAAGCTCTCATTAGAAAAGAAAAGATTTCTCTTGGGATGAGTGAAATGTATAATTAGTCACAAGATAGAAACCAAAGTGCGCTCTATTGGCTGTATTTGGCTGTATTGGCTGTATATTAACTGTACAAACCATTGGCTGTATATTGACAACCAATTTATGCCAAAAAATAATATAAGTTTTGATAGAATTGAAATTTCTTCGAAACAAGAGAACAATTTTATTAGGTTTAGTACTAATTCTTGATAACACTTTTTGTTTTTTGTTTCATCAAAGAGCAAATCATAGCTTTCTCTAATTTTTTTTACGATGATAATTAGACACGCGTTGTCTAGCTTTGGGCAAAGTTTTATCCTGATCTAATAGCTGAGCTTCAAGCAAGAAGCTTTTGTTTGCAAACAGTCCATTTGGACTCTTGGTTCTTCTGTGAACCTGATTTTTTCTGCTACTCCTAAATATTGACAATGTTGACTATGTAAAGTAGATACTTTGAAGAAGGTAATTTCAATAAAAACATTTATATGAAGTAGTTTTTCGAGAAACTTTGACAGCATTTCACATTATCAAAAAGTTATTCATTACTGAAAAAAAGTAAATTTTGAAATGTCTAAAAGTTTATGTGGTAATGTTGGGAATTTGATGCTGAATATTTTATCTAGGTGTTGATAAAGCATACTGGTAAAAGAAAGTTTCTGGATGGAATTCTTCTCTGCCAACTTTTCTAGGGATTCCATTTTCCAGGTCATTTTTTTTCGCTCTTTTGTTCATAGCTCAACTTTCATTCACCAAAAAAGGATAAAAGCTTGCTGCCTAATAGACAAAAGAATGCTAAAAATGTCTCAAAAGTTCCATAAAAACACATAGTTCAGTCTTTGAGAAATCTCAAAAACAAAAAGTTTTTTTGTGCGATGTGGACTAGATCAGAATCGACTGGTTTTAAAGCAAAGCTTCCTGCTTGAAGCTCAGCCGTTAGATCGAGATGAAACTTTGTTTTGTTTATGTTTTTATTTAAATTATTTTCTTCAAAGTATCTTCAATAGTTCAAATTGCCAACTTTTGGCTGAAAATGTTTAGGAGTAGCAGAAAAAATCAGGTTCACAGAAGAACCAAGAGTCCAAATGGACTGTTTGCAAACAAAAGCTTCTTGCTTGAAGCTCAGCTATTAGATCAGGATAAAACTTTGCCCAAAGCTAGACAACGCGTGTCTAATTATCATCGTAAAAATTTATAAAAACCTATGGTTTTGCCCTTTAATGAAACAAAAAACAAAAAGTGTTTTCAAGAATTAGTACTAAACCCCTAAATATCTTCAAATTGTAGTTAATAAAGAGAGATTTTTGAGGGCAAACTTGCGAAGAGGAAGAAACGCAATCCACAAACGAGCAAACTGATTGTGAGAAACAAAGAAAATTTGTAGTTCTTCTCAACATTTGAGCCTAATCTTTAAGAATTTCGCAACGAAAGAGATCGGACTCTTTGAGGTCATCCAGAGAATGAATAGATCCAATTTGAGGATGAGATTTGAGAAAAAAAGAAATCGGAAACAATGAGAAACAGCTGAGAAATGACTTCAACTTTTTCATCTTCAAGTAATTTGTAATAAGATGAGAAGAAGTTTCTCTTTGAAGGTACACGGAAATTGGAAAAATCGTCGACTTACGAACCTCAAATTGAACTTTGCCAAATAGAGATTGGACCGGATGAAAAAGCCAAAAGTCAAGGCCCAGATCAAGCCAACTTTGGTTGCTTGTAGTAAGTTAAGTGTTAGACTATCAGAGCCGCTCAATTCTTCTAACATTTCACCCTTCCCATTTCCCTTCCGACTTCAACCCCACTTCCGGTCTTCCCTCCCCTCCCCCTTCTTCCCTTCTTCCCCCCCCTCTTCTCTTCCCCTTTCTCTCCTCTTTCATGCACATTCCAACTCGTAAATCCCGTCTAAT